GCAGCCGGCGGAAAGTTTCCTCCGAGGAAAGAGGAGGGACGGGGCGTGGCGGGCCGGGGGGAGGCGGGAGGAAAAGGGCCGGGAGAGGAAGGGGAGAGGAACGGGCGGCGGGAGGAGGGGAGCGAGGCCTGCGGGGGCCGCCTGCTCCCCCACAGGAAACCGCTGGGGAGGCCGCGGGCGGGGACCCGCCCCCGGGCTGCCACCACCACCAACAATAATGATGATGGTGTTCTGCCTAGGTGCCAGGCAACGCACGAAACCTCTCCACATTCTTTATTTAATCTTCTAACAACCCTGTAACGTGGGTACCATTATCTCCCCTTCGCAAGTTAAGTAAACCGAGTCAGAGAGAGGTTGAGGAACGAGCGGTCGGGATTTGAACCCAGTGCTCTCTGAGCCTAGAGCCTGGGCTCTAAACCCCTTTCCTATACCCTGCTCCCCCATCCAGCGAAGACTGCCACCTTTCCGCAGACCTCCCCCACAGGTCCCCCCAGACCCACAGCCTGTCTCAGAGGGAGGGGGCTCTCGGTCCCTCCTCCCAGGGCGCAGCCATGAGTGTGTCCAGCTGGCCAAGCTCTGGTCTGGTCATGCGGGGTTAATGATTGTTGGACTCTGGCGGTGAGCCAGGCCAGGCGGCCTTGCAGACCCCAGCGTGGGGCCTCTGCGTGTGCATGGGAGCTCCTGTGTTCCTGGGCACCAAGCAGTTTGTGGCAGAATGCATTTCCCCTTGGCTAAACCTGCCCAAGCGCGCACACGCATGTCCACCTGGGCTCAGGGCTTGTGCATGCGCTGTGTTGTGTGATCAGTGTGTGCAGCTGGGGTCTTCTTTCTGCCCAGTCTCCCAGGGCCCCCACCCTCTGTGGGCCTCCCCTCCCTGTGCTGGAGCTGGGGTGAGGGGGAGGCCTTCTTGGCGGGAGCCTTAGAGAGGAGGAGGGAAGGAAGGGGGAGAGGAAATTGCAGACATAGCTGAAGGCGCTGCCGCAGGCCTGTGGGCCAGCGACCCCCTCCCTGTCCAGGCTGGAGACCCCCACTCCCCGAGTCCTGAGATTGGGTTCAAGTAGAGGGCAGATCTAGATAGGAAAAGGACTAGGCCTGATTCTCATGGGGATGGCAGAGGAACTCCCGAGTGTCTTTGTAACCGTTAGGTCTGTTTTGTGAGCGTGAGTGGAAGTATTTCTTTCCATATCTGTATGTTTGTCTATTTATGGGGTGTATTTCCTTGAGTATTTTTGTGGGGTGGGTATGTCTGTGTATAAATCTATCTAGCCAGTAGTCAACAATGCTGAGTGCGTGTGGCTAGCACCTCCTGGTAATGGGAACGTAGCAGTAAATAGAACGGACTCAAATCCTTGCCCTCCTGGAGCTGACACTAAGGTGGAGGGACAAATAGTGGATGAAGAAGATAATCTCAGGCATTGCTAAGTGCTCAGAGGATGATGGGAGAGGGCAATGCAATGGGGAGCATGGAGGGGAGTCTCACAGGGACATCTGAGCTGAGACCTGAATCCTGAGGAGGGGGTGGGCATGTGAAGATCCAGGGGAGAGTGTCCGGCAAGAGCAAAGGGGCTTGGGGTAGGAGCATGCTTGGGGTAACTTGCTCCCAGAGGAAAAGTGATGGGGGGAACACACGGGCTTGGATTTTATGGTAAGTGTAGTGGGGAGCCCCTGGAGAGGTTTGAGCAGGGGAGTGCCATAAGGAACTTTGGCAAGACCCCCACGGTGGCTCACTGTAGGATGGGCCCAGGGGACAAGAGTAGAGTCAGGGAGGGCTGAGCAGCAGGCAGGGGGTCTTCTGTAGGAGCTCCTGCACTGCATGTGCACGTGAGGGAAAGAGGAATCTAGGACAACTTTTTTTTTTTTCCTTTTTGTTTTTTTTCGTGACCGGCAACGGATCGCAACCTTCAGTTTCGCTCCCGTACCTCGCTCAGCTAGTGAGCCGCCGGTCTGGCAACGGGATCGCAACCCTCGGTGTTGCGCCCGCACCTCGCTCAGCGGTCTGGCAACAGGATCGCAACCCTCGGTGTTGCGCCTGCACCTCGCTCAGCCAGTGAGCCGCCGGTCTGTATGTGGGATCTGAACCCTCAGCGGGAGCGCCGCTGCGCTCCCAAGCGGCGCACTGTAGCAGTGCGCCACTTCGCCCGCCCGAGGACAGCTTTTGATATGGGGCCTGAACACCTGAGGAAAGCCCGTGGGGGAAGCAGGTTTCTGGTGGAATCAGAGTTTCACTTTAGATATGTTGGATTTGAGATGTCCATTAGATGTCTGGATGGAGGAGATGCAGGCAGAGCCCCCAAGGAGTCTGGCTGGAAATGGTGTTCGAGAGTCCTCAACACACGATGGATTTCACACCCCAGGATTGGGTCAGATCGCCTAGGGTAAGGGGGCAGGGAGAGAAAAGAAGCTGAAGCCCTGGACACCTCACACTGAGGGGTCTCCTGGAGGAGGAGTCAGCAAAAAGAGACCAGTGAGGTGGGAGGAAAACAAGACCAGGACAAGGACATGATCAGCCACGTTAAATTGGGCTGATAGCTGTCAGCACCACACTCACCCAGTGAGCAAACCGGCCATCCCTATATGGGATCCGAACCCGTGGCCTTGGTGTTATCAGCACCGCACTCTCCCGAGTGAGCCACAGGCCGGCCCCCAAGTTGGGCTGATAGCTGGAGATGAGGCCAGGATTCGACCACTGGCTTGGGCAGTATTGCAATACCATCCACCGTATTGGTGGGTTTCCCTGGGTTGTACCCCTATTTCTTTTTCTTTTTTTTTTTTTTTTTGCGGCTGGCTGGATCCAAACCCTTGACCTTGGTGTTATAACACTGTGTTCTAACCAAGTGAGCTAACTGGCCAGCCCCCTATTTATTTAAGGTATGCACATGACTGGCTGTTTGCACGGTAATATATTTATATATTGCTGGGAGTACGATGACATATTTAATGCCTACTGTCCACGTGAATATTGGTGTGTGTTGCAGCTGTGTTTGTGTGATTGTGTGTTGAGGGGTGTGTGCACTGTGTCTCTATGAGGGTCCACGTGCATGCTTCTCTGTTATGTTTTTGGTCTGTAAGGTTCTGGATATGTTTCTGTCAAGCTGTTTCTGTGAATCACTGGGCTATGCAGGTCTCTGGGTATCTCTATCTGCAGGCAACTATGTCTGTGTTGGCCTATGACCTGTATGTTTGGAGTGGGTCAGATGTGATTCAGCCCTGGTGAAGCAGATGGCCATGCTAGAGCAGTGAGGGTTGAAATGATCACCGGTCCCTTTGGAGAGAGGGACACACCTAGCAGGTACATGTGGCCAAGCCAGGCCAGGTGAGAGAAGTGGCAGCCTTGCCCTAGAGAGTTCTAAGAAGCCAAGGACTGCTCCTGGGGGCCCTGGGGAAGGTGCCTGAAGCCTTTGGCCAATGTGGCCATCCATGGCCAACATGCCTTCCTGGCCACCTGCCTATCTGCTTTACTGCCTGCCTTTTGCAGCCCACTGGCCTATGTGTAGGTCTGCCCAGCCACCTGCTTTGGTCTTTTGCTAGGATTGCTGCGTATCTGTCACCTGCCTGTCTGGCTCATATCCTACCTACCTACCTGCCAACCTCCTCCCTGCCTGTCTGCCCGCCCACGACTTATCTGCTGCCTTCCCACCTGCCTGCCTGTTGGCTGCCTTTCTGCCCTCCTATCTGCTTGTGAGACTAGGGATTTGTCACCTTGGAAGGCACAGAGTGCTCCTAAAATGAAACACGGGAAAGACAGGTTGTAATGGGAGATTAGGGGCTGAAAGGTCCAGAGCCTGTGGGAGGGCCTCGGGGTCTGGGCATATTGAAGGCCCAGAGCAAAACCCAAGCACAACTCTGCGCCTTTCCCTAATGGCCGGGCTGGAGGCTGGCCCTGGCTACTCTGCTCCTACGATGGTGCCTTGTCCCGCTGCAGGGGCAGGTTTTGGATGGAAGGAAGAAGAGGACTCACTTAAGGGCCTCCTGAGGCCTTCCCAGTCCTCTGAGTATCTCCACAACCCCAACACTCAGGATGGCTGCTGGAAAGAGGGAATTGGCAAAAGTTTTCTCAATGAATAATTATGGATATTGAGGACCTTCATGGTACCTGATACTCTGCTAAATGCTGTGCACAATCTAACCCTTCAAACCCTCCCAATAACACTGTGTAGTTTATAGCACGATTCCCATTTGACAGAGAAGAGTGAGGCTTGGAGAGGGTAAATGACACATGTGTGCTCACTTGGATGTAAGTCATGGGGCCTGGATTTGGGCTTCAAAGCCCATGCGCCCAACAGTTTTCCACAAGGCAGTTCCAGGTCGTGGTTCTACCCCACGGTCAGGCCCAAAGCTACCTTTTCATGATGCTTTCTTTTTTTATTTTTATTTTTATTTTTTTATTATTTTTTTTCATAAAACAAATTCATGATGCTTTCTTTTTTTTTTCCTTTTTGTCTTTTTTCATGGCCGGCAACGGATCGCAACCCTCAGTGTCGCGCCCGTACCGGACCGGGACCGGCAATGGGATCGCAACCCTCGGCGTTGCCCCCGCACCTCGCTCAGCCAGCGAGCGGCCGGTCTGTATGTGGGATCCGAACCCTCGGCGGGAGCACCACCGCACTTCCGAAGCGGCGCACTATAGCAGTGCGCCACCGGGCCGGCCCTTCGTGATGCTTTCTATTGCTCCTTTTAATGCTCCTGAAATGAAATTTATACCTAATGTACCAAACTTCACATCTAATTTAAAAAATATGTATTTTTTTTTGTCCTATAATATAAAAGAAATAAAAGGCACTGACACGTATTTGTGTAGTGGTCAGTTGCTGGGAAGGGGACAGCTGTGTGTGCAAACTGATGCTGGTGTCACTGTCTGAAATGAAGAACTCTTGGTAAAGGTCTGCACAAAATAAAGTACAGCCTTCCTCCACCTTACCTAGCAGTTGCATCCCCAGATAATTAAATGCATTTTATGTATGCACAAATCCTTTGTGTTAATGTGTAAAATGGGTTAGATTCTTGGCTCTGGTAATTATAAACAAGTTCTTCACTTATGCTGTGCAGGATGTAGAATCTGCCTTCCTTGTGGGGTTGTCTGGAATCCCTGGCCCCACCCTCTAAATGCCAGCAGCAACCTCCCCCCCTTACCCCCATAGTGGACACAACAGAAAAGATGCCTGCCCTTGTTCACGGAACTCAACATTTGAGCAGGGAGACAGGTGCAACCTTAATAGTGGAATCTATATGTCAGGTTGTGATAAGCACAATGAAGAGAAATGGGAGGAAGGGGATAGAGAAGATCAGGTGGATAGGTGAGGGACATTCTCTCTAAAGAGGTGACATTTTGAGCAGAGACCTGAATGACATGAGGGAGGGAGCCATGCAAACATCTGGGGGAAGAGCCTCCCAGAAGGAATAGCCAGTGCAGAGGCCATGAGGCGGAAGCGTGCTGGCTTGTTCAGGACCGGGCGGCCTGTGCCACAGGAGCAGACTGAGGGTGAGTAGAGCAGTTAGGGAGGTGACCAGGTATGGAGCCTCAGGGCGGAGAGCTTTATAAGCCGCCCAGGCCTTTGGATTTTATCATGCATGGGTCGGAAGCCATCAGAGGGATGCAATCTGAGTTTTTAAAGGCTCACTCTGAGGCCAGCCCCGTGGCTCACTTGGGAGAGTGCGGTGCTAAGAGTGCCAAGGCCGCGGGTTCGGATCCTATATAGGGATGGCCTGTGGCTCACCTGGGAGAGCGTGGTGCTGACAACACCAAGTCAAGGGTTAAGATCCATCCCCTTGCCGGTCATCTTAAAAAAAAAGAATAAATAAAGGCTCACTCTGGCTGCTATGTGGTGCCTGGACTGAGTGGGAGGAGGGAGACCAGGAGGCGAGAGCTGGGGGCTTAGGGTGGTCACGGTGTAGCCGTGCGATGTGATCAGATGCTGCCTATGAAGGTGGGGCTGGCCAACAGGACTAGCAGTGGATTGAACATGGGGTATCAGAGAAGTCAAGGCTGACTTGGCTTTGGAGCCTGAACAACTCAGCCACCAAAGATGCCATTTCCTCATTCCCTTTCGTACTTCAGATAGCCTGACAGCAATTCTGGCTTCTCTCTGAAACCGCCCTCCCTGAGGACCCTGGAATCCAGGGGGTGGCTGAAAGTGATGGAAATTTCTTAGTTCTTGTTTGCCCTCTCAGGAGCCTAGGAGGCTGTTGATCACACTGATCACACCCATCTTTCTGGTACTCTCCTTTGCTTCCAGAGCTCACAATCCAAGAAGTTCAGATCAATAAACAGTTCTGGAGTGCCATCTGTGTGCTAGGCTCATTTTAGGTGCCAAGGATGCAAGAGTGAGCTAAGTGAAGTCCCTGCCTGCATGGAACTTTCCGTCTGTGTACTGCTGGAGGTAAGCCTGACACGTGCAGGTGCCCAAGTGTCTGCACACTCAACGGAAGCTGAAAATGGACATAAAGTCCAGGGCAGCAGCTGTAGAGTCGGAGAGTGCAGTGGTGATCTTGGAGCAAGGGTACCTTCTGGCTGTGTATGCAGGATAGAGAAGGTATGTGCCAAAATGTAATGGGCAAAATCTGTACAGACACCTGCCTGGCTGCTGGGGTGGGTGTGGGGCCTGGGCCTGGGGGCCTGCTCTGAAGCCTTGGCAGAGAATCAGGGCCTTCTCACATCTGAGTGGTGACACCCCTCTTGCTGCGTAGACCCTTGACTGGGAAGGGGCTCTGCCTGCATGCATCTCTGTTCCTACTGTGACCTGAACCTGGGTGTGGGCTTCTGAGCACAGGCGTGGGTCTGCATGGGTGCTGTGGTGTGCGGGGGGAGGGGCTGGCCTGCCTCTGGCTTCATTGCTCTGGAAGCACAATCTGCAAAGTCTAAATTTAGGCAAAGGAAGGAAGGAAAGAAGAAAGGAAGGAAGGAACCCCCTTGGCTTCCCATGGAGGGGAGGGAGGGCGAGGGAGGTGCAGGAAGAAGCCTGGCCTGGCCCTTCTTACCCCAGCTGTCCTGGATGGGCATGTGGGCACACAGGCAGTCTGTTCGGCTAGGTTTCCTCCACCAATGGGGGTGTGGCAGAGAGAAGATCCATAACCGCCCCCTGCTGCAGGGTCTCTGGGACCCCTCCTGCCTGCGCAGGTCAGGGGCTGGGCCAAGCCAAGCTGGGAGCTCCAGTTCACACCCTTAGCTGGCAGCTGGACCAGTGGGTCTGGGAGAATGCTGGATAGTTCTGGTTCCCCTCCCCATTTCAAGACAGTGGTGCTAGTGCCACCTCCTGCTGGCTGGGGGCTGTGGAGGGGACATATCCAGGGCCTAGAGCTGCAGGAATCCAAGTTAGGAACCCTGTGCTGCCTGGCTGGGATGGGAGACGGATGGCGGTGCAGGCAGGGAGGGCAAGAACGGCAGAAGATACAGGCCACAGTGGCTCCAGATCAGGAAGTTTTATTGCTGACATGCAGGAAGAGTCCCCATGTAGTACAAAAATATGTCTTTATACAAACTTTTTTGTGACTTTTTCCATTTTGTTTCTTTACAATAGGACTTCTCTCAGTGTGTGACACCCAGTGAGGGCAGACCCAGCCTCCTTCCATTTGCTTCGCCAGAAATATCATCAGACACAGGGGTTGACCTTGGAAGGGACCATTCTGTCTGACAGGGCTTTGCAGACCTGGAGGATATTGCTTAGAGGAGGAGAAAGACCATACGTGGAAGCAGACCCGGAGGGGCTGGGCAGGGGCTCTGCTGAGACAGGCCCTGGCCAAGCCTCAGACTCTCACAGGAGGACAGTCACAGGAGCTGGGAGCCCTAGGCCGGACTGCACTTCTGCTCCCTTAGGAGACTTTTTTTTAATGAAATAAATATAGAAAAGAGGGCATCCCCTGCCCCCACAGCACAATACCCTGGCTCTCAGCGGCTGGATGGCTGAGAGAGAGGCAGAGCTTGGTGCTCGAGGGAGCAAGTGCTGGGCTCAGGTGGGCTCCCACAGACCCACTGAGGCAGAGGCGCCCAAGGGCTGGATGGGGGTGTGAGAAGGAAGGGGCGTGGGCAGCCCTGCTACTGCTGGCAAGAGGTGGCCCCATTTTTTCCAGATGGGGAAACTGAGGCACAAGGAGGTTTGGGAACTTGCCCAAGGTCACTCACAGTGAGTCAGCTTTTTTTGGGGAGGGGGACAGCTCACACTCTGGGAAACATGATTACAGAGGCCTCAGTCACCTCCCCACTGGGGAGTAAGGACAGGCAGGAAGGGTCTGAAGGCCCAGGGCTACGTGGAGGGGACACTCTCCTCTCTGAAGGTGTATGGGGTAGGCCTCTGGGGAAGGGTCTTTGCATGGCATTGGGTAGGGCCAAGTCCAGTGAGGGGGAGGGGCTGGGAAGGGGAGGGCATTCTGGTGAGAACAGCATTTCTGGCAAGACGGGCATCCACTTCAAAATCTCGGCTCAAATGGGCAGCAGGGCTGTTCTCAAGCCAGGGCAGGGCCCCCCAGTCCCTACAATTCTCCTCCCAAGACCTCCAACCTCCATGAAGGACCCTGGGCAGGGCGTGCTAGGAGAGACACCACATGGCAGGAAGGGAGATGCCCCCACCGTTCTCTGAACACAAGAATGGGGTGGGGAGTGAGGGACATGCAGGCAGGGCCCACCTGTTCCCGGCCAGGCCTGGCACTGCCCCCACCCCATTCACACTGTATCCACACTACCTCGGCACCATGGCAAGGGATGAAGAAAGAAACCAGGCTGAATGCACGTGTACAGCACCTCAGGGAAACTACTGAGAACGGAGAGAAAGAGCCCAGTCCAGAAAGGCCTCCCCATCACAGGAAGCGAGAGGGACTGGTGGGCTGAGAGTGGGGAGGGTGGAGGGAGCCCATGTGGGGGCCGTGGACACCCTGCAGGCCAGCCAGGCTGGGAGTGGCCATGGGCCGAGCCACCCAGAGATGGGGGAGAGGTTGGTGTCAGTAAAAAAATAAATACATTTGAATTCGGCTTAAGATGAGGTGAAGGTTTTCCAAAGCTTGGACTGAGGGTCCTGGGGTCAGAAGGTGAGGGACGGACACAGATTGGCTGCAGGAGCCTGGGAGAGCAGGGAGGACAGGGCGTGCACTTGGGGGCCAGCAGCGAGCTGCGCTTTCAGCTTATGTGGACTGTGGGGAGCAGCGGCCTGGGTGAGGCCTGCGGGCGGGTGGCCGGGCTCCCTCCTCCTCACTCAGTCCAGAGACAGCACGGCTAAAGAGACAGAGGTAGATTAAAAGGTCATGATTAAAAGCAGATTAGTCATCTAGGCCTCTCAGATTAAAAAACCAAATGATCAAGCAATCATCCTGAAAGGTAGCTTCATGGTACCTCTGCTGAACCTATGTGTGACCTGGGCTGTCCCCATCCCTGTCCTGTCCCCGTCACAGCCTGGGAGAGTCCAGCACTACAGGCTCAGCCCTGACAGCCGGGCCTTTGGCTGGGGGCCGGAAGAGGTGGTGGTGGTGCTGGTTGCCCTTGACCGAGGCCGCTATTTCCGCAGGTAGCGCTGTGCCAGGATGGCCGTGTCCAAGGAGGTCATGGGCTGCGCATCGTGGCCCAGCCGCCGCACGGGTGGCACGCTGCCGAACTGCCGCTTGGGCACCCAGCTGCGGGCCTCGTGGATGGAGCTCTTCTCCTCGGCCAGCAGCAGCTGCTGCCGCATGTAGTTCTCAAACTCGTACTGCGAGCACTCCTCTGTCACCTTTGCCTTGAGGTCAAGAGGGAGGGAGCAAGACAGAGACACAGAGACAACGTTAGAGAGGGAGAATAGAGGGGGAGAGGACAGGGGGGAGAGATGGAGGAGGAGGCTGTGAGCACTGGGCACCTGCTGTGAGGCTCCTGTCCCAGGCACCACACTGTCAGGCCCCAGCTAGCCAGTGGTTGACAGCGTGGCTCCTGGAAACCCTCTAGCTACCTGGACCCTGCCTTGCTGGCCACCCTGGGTGTGTCAAAGCACAGACCTGTGAGGTGACCCGATCCCTCCCTTCCTATTGCACTGACCTTGGCAGGTCCTGTTACCTCGGAAGGAAGCGAAACCTTCACTTCCTCTCACAAAGGTTCTCTGAGCCCTGAGGGGGCCAATGCATGCCAGAGGTGGGAGCGGGCCTGAGTGACCCGGTTTCTTTATCTCGCCCACATGCACGGGTCTTAGGCTGAGCTCTCTGGGGTGATCCAGCAGACAGTAACACAAACCTAAGTGGTAGGTCCCTGTGCTAATCATCGGAGAGGGGAAGCAGAGTCAGACTTGGGTTCAAGGCTCAGCTCCACTACTTCCAAGTTGTGTGACTTTGGGGAAACCTCGGTCTCCTCTTTTGTAAAGGAGGGATAAGGACACAGGCCACATAGGCCTGGGGTCAGGACCGAGTGAGGTGTGGCAGTAGGCACTCAGTGCACGCTGGTGATGATCATTTTAGCTGCTGAGCAGCCCTGGGAGGGGTGGGGGCTGGGGCCAGGGACTGGAGCTCTCTCTTCTCAAGGGCCAGGCTCTGCTGTGGTCCCAGGCATGGCCCCTCCTGGTCCTTCCTGCCCACTTCTTGCTGTAGAGCTCCAAGGTGGGCCAGGACGGAGGGTCCTTACAACATCCCAGGCCCAGCATCCCTCCTGGGGCTTGGCCAAGCCCTGCCCTCTAAGAGGTACCCTAAGATCACCTGCCAGCTGCTGCCCAGGTCTCTGCCCCCACCCCAGGCCCAGCACTTTCTCCAATGCAGGGAATGGAGAAGAGAGAAACCAGGGAGAAATGAATCATCTGAAAAATGAAAAGCAGGAAGAGTGAGAGAGAAACCAGTTAGTCAGCGGGGCAGAGAACTATGACTTGGGCAGGAAGAGGAAGCTGAGAGGGCCAGACTGGGTCCCTGTGAGCACCGCCCCCAGCTGTCCCACAGGCCTCTCTCAGGCCATGGGATCTCTAGCTGAGCCAGACAGGGCAGGCCCCAGGCAGCTCAGGCTGACATCTTAAGTCTCCCTTCCCTACTCCAAGGGCTGGAGTAGAAGGCTGAGGAGGCCTGTGGCCTGTGGGGAGCTGCCACCTCTGCCCTGCTCTGCCTGCCCCTGCTGGAGGCTGCTCTCTCTTGGCTTGGGTAATGGCCTATTTGCCTACCCCAACTCACCTCCTGGGAGCTGTCTGCACTGCTCATTTGGTCGTCAATGTCAGGAACCACTTGCAAAGGTCCACTCAGAGATGACAGGGACTGCCTGCGGGAGAGGGAGACAAGTCAGACCGGCTCTAGGCAGCCTCAGAGAGGCCAGGTCCCCGCTGGTCCCAGACTTGGCTGGAGTCAGACAGACCTGGGTTGGTTCATAGCATGACTGACTCTGCTTCACTGAGCCTGTCTTCTCACCCAATAAAGGGGACAATTTCTCCCTCGTGGGCTGTGGTGAGAACTCAGGGAAGTGACACCCATCCCATAGTTGGACTGGCCATCAGGGTGGGAGATGCTCAACTCTGAGCTCTGCCTGCACCCTCCCAATCTTGCCCACGGGGAAAATCTGGAAACCCGACTGCCTGGCAGAGAAACAGGCTGCCCGCAGGCTGCTTTCTGGACACAGCATCTGAGAAGCCAGCCTTGTGTTCGCCTAGCGCCTGCCCACTTACCATGATGCGATGATGGCACTGAGGGCCTCCAGGACATCGGCTGCAGCCAGGCGCTGCTGGGGATCGAGGACCAGCAGCTTCCGGATGAGACACACGGTGTTCTCAGAAACCCGCCCATCCCTGACCGGGGAGAGGGAGAGGGATCAGTGGGTAGGGCGGTGCTGGGTCTCCGACCCAGGACACGAGGCTCACTGTGCTGCTTCCCCGCCTTGAGCCCACAGGGCAGGGCTCCCTCCCCTCCCCAGGGAGGCAGGACTCACTCCGGGATGGTGTACTCGGCAGCCTTGATCTTGCGGAAGAGCTCCTGTGGGATGCTGTCGTAGAAGGGGAACTGGCCATACAGCATGGTGAAGAGCACCACACCCAGGGCCCACATGTCACTCGGCTTGCCCCTGTACGGCCGGCCTGGAGGCAGACGGACACAGCTCGCTCAGCATGCCATGGCCCATAGCTCCTCGGCTCATCACCAGCTATGTGCCTGAAATCCTGCCCTTGGACCCCTCCACCTGCCACCCCTCAGCCCCCTTCCTCCCAGAGCTTCTGCACAGGACTGTCTCTCCCCTGTTCCCTTCCTCTGCCAAGATGCCTTTCCTGACACCGAGGGGAGGGATTGCACCTGGCCTTGTGCAGCCCACCCCGCTCCTCACAGCACCTGCCCTGCTCTGCTGCGCCATCTGCCAGGGCACACTGCCGGCCTGGCCCCGAGAGCAGGTGGTCAATAACGTTTGTGGAACACGCAGATAGCTAACTCTGGACAAATCAGCCACTCCCACCCCCTATCACTTCCTCCCATGCCCCACCTGTTCCTTCACAGCATCAACCACAATCTGGTTAGTCTATCTGTGACCCCCATATCCCCCGCTAGAAGGTAAGTCCTCAGATGCAGGTGCCTCCTCTGCTGTGTGCACTGCAGAGTCCAGAGCCTAGCACAGACCAAAATATTTGCTAAATGAATGAACATCCAGTTTAATGAACCTCTATGTGCTAGTTTTCTTATCTGTAAAAACGAAGGGATTTGCACGTTTAACTGAGCACCCACTTTGTGACAGCACTGGGAGAGTCGCCTTTATTTCATTAGCTGTCTCGCACAACTCCATGACAGAGAGGTGCAGGGAAGTTGTTCATCCAAGGCCACACAGCTGGTGAGAGGACCCACATCTGACTGTCCATCCATCCATCAGCAACAGAGCATCCCCCACATGCCAGCCACTGCCTGACCCACTCCTCCAAATGCAAAATACAGGGACCACTCACGCCTCCCAAAGCCCCTGCCCTATCCAGACACTGACATGCCCTTTTTGGTGCATCAGCGGGCTGCAGCAGCCCAGATCTCCAAAAACAACTCAGCTCTCCATGAGTGTGGAAGAGATGCTGCTAGACACTTTAGTGTCATCTCCCTGGGTGCCAGGCAATGTCTGGGCACCTAAGACCCCTCTACTCTGAGTCCCCCTTTTGGGGGTGTCCAGGCCCCAAAGTCTCCTGGGTAGCTGAGGATGCCTTTGGGGAGAGGAAACACTCGTTCTGAAGGTTTTGCAGGCCCACTGAAGGTCAGGCAGCTTAACAGGTGCATACATGCACATGCGCATGGAAGCACCATGACATGCCTTGGCCTGCACCTTCAGAAGGTACCATGGAGCCTTCCTAAGCAAGCCTGTCACTGCATCTGTAAAATGGGAACAGCACCCCTGCCTACTGGACAGGACAGTTGTGGGGTGAACTTCTGCTCCAGCTGGTATGGCAGGTAGTTTTTTTTTATGGTTGGCTGGTTCAGGGATCTGAACCTGTGACCTTGGTGTTACAAGGCTGCACTTTAACTGAGCTAACCTGCCAGCCTACGGCAGGTAGTTCTGAGCAGACAGCCTCTCCCACGCTCTCCCCAAGGCTGCCTCGCCCGGTCCTTTCCAGCCCCCAGTCCCAAAGAGCACCTGGGGTGTCCTTGTGTAGCTGACTCCATGGTCAACTTGAGGACAGCACCTTTCTCCTGGACCCTGCTCCACCAAGTGGGGTCACCAATACAGAATTTATTATTTTTGCCACCATTCTTAGCTCTGTATGGCTCCAAAAAAGCTACTCCTCTCCGCCAGCATCTGGAAGGTGGTTACTGCTGAGATGGCTGAGGGGCACTGCTGCCAGAGCCAGTGCAGGGCCTTCTCAGCCTGAGCCAGCCCATATGGAAGGACCCGAAACTTCTGCCCTGACTTGGAGGGGGATGAATGGCCCCTCTACAGACAAGCTCTACAAGGAGCTCCAATGAAGCAGGCGACCTCTCCCTGAGCTTTAGCTTTTGAGGGAACACTGCGCCATCAAGCTTTCCTCTCTTTAATGACAATGCCAAACTCTAGGTTAAGGGAGGGACTTAATGAAGTGGGTACTACTATCATCCCGTATTATAGATGAGAAAACTGAGACCCAGAGAGGTCGGTAACTCCCAAGGTCCCACAGGTATTAGCCAGACTATAAACTCTGTGAGGGCAAGACCACATTTGCCTTTTCACAGCTCCATGCTTGATGCACAGGGCTGTGCTCAGCACACAGAGGATAAATGAAGGGGCAGAACTGGGATCAGAACCCACGTGCCAGGACTGGTACTTTGGCTTTTATCCCAAGAGGAGAGTAAAGCTCAAAGAAAGGGATTGAAGGCCAGGGTCACGCAGCTAGTTAAACAGCAAGGCCAGAATTAGATCCCAATCTCTGGTCTCCCACTCTAGGACTCTTCCAGATGCAGAGAGTTGGCATGAGCTCCTGGCACCTGGATTCCTGTAGCAGAGATTGTGGTGACTCTAAGCAAAATCCCCAACACTATCCTGTGCACACGGGTAGCCCTGGGTAGAGGCCTGACTTTTCAGCAGAAGCCACAGCTGGGGGTAGCCTCCAAGGGAAATAACTGCAAAGCTCACAGCAAGTTACAGCAGCCTGCTCCGCAGGACGACGTACGATGACCTGGGGAGAGGCTTGTTCTGCTGCTGCAAGAAAAAGGCACACACGTGTGTGAGTCGGGGACAATGGACCCTGGAGGCAACTCCGAATCTTCTGTGTTGGAGAGATGGGAGCTGGCATCGTCCCTGATTTCCTAGGGGATCAAGACCAGAGGGACCCCAATTTGGCAAAAGACAAGGGGGAAAGAGAAAGTCTACAGTGAAACGGGAGTACTCCCTCTAGTGGGAGGCAGCTCTGCAACCGAGCCTCTGGTTTACTATTAGCTATGACTTTGGACAAGAGATGCCTTCTCTCCAAGCCTCAATTTTCTCACCTGTAAAAAAGGGACTTAGGATATTTACCTCACAGGGTAGCTATGTGGTTTTAAACAGATAATGCATGGCATGTGCTCAGTACAGTGCCTAGTACTTACAAACATGGTCAGTAGGTAATAACTGTATAATTCACTTATTTTGTGCATTATCTGTCTCATCCCCACTAGAAGATCAGCTCCATGAAGGCAGTGCTGTTTGTCTCCTCGTTCACGGCAGGGCCTCAGTAAAACTAGGAGAACAAAAATGAGCAAATGGAGGGACGTCTTTGAAGTGCGAATCTCATCACAGCACATGCAGCGAGACCAGTTCAGAGGCTTTCTTTTGCACTTGAAACAAAGGTCTACATCAGGCTTTGCATGGTCTGGCCCTGCCCACCTCTCTGGCTTCCCCTTGAAACAGGCTCCCTTCTGAGTGACAGCCACAGTGGCCTTCTATCAGTTCCTCACATGTGCTGTGCCTCCTTGGGGACACTTGGCCTCCCCCAGTCACACACACCTAGGAAACTCCTAGCTCTCCTTAAGATCGCAGTTCAGCTGTTAGTTCCTTGGGAAAGTCCTCCAAGCACACTTCATCTGCCCTCATGGAAATCACGTTCCCATCCTTCCTCATGCTAGTCTCAGAGGGTGATTAAACACACACATGTATGACCATTATGTCTTCCTCCTCCACTAGACCAAAAATTTTGTACAGGGAGGACAGCACTGGTTTGGGCCACCAGTGAAGCCCCAGCACCTGGCCCAGGGCCTGCTCATAGGTACCATTTGTTGAATGAATGGACTGTTGCACAGTCCAGCCATTGGGGCCTGGGGGCCCACTGTCCAGCACGGGCACATACCGCTGAGCACATCAGGGCTGATGTAGGCGGGGCTCCCCCTCTGGTCCTTTAGCAGGTCTCCCTCGCTCACAAGATGCTTCCCAAGGCAGAAGTTGGTGATGGTTATCCGATGTGTCCTGGAAGTGGGAGGCCAAGAGTGAACAAACCTCGGTGTCTACAGGCACGGGCACCAGATGTGGGCAGGGCACCCCCAGCTAGGCCAGCCACCAATCCTGGCTTCCCTTCAGAGGATGAGGCAGTTGCCCCCCATGCCTTCACCCAGGGAGCAGAGGAATCATGCCCACATCCTTTTCTGGCCATCTGGTCACTCCTAACCACATTAGTGTTGCAGGGGACTGTCCTGAATCTGCCGCCCTGGCTGAGTCTCAGGGGGTACTGCTCAGGGCCTAGAACAACCTTCAGAGATTTCCCCAAAAGAGCCTCATGTAATATTCCATTGTAATATTCTCATGTAATATTGGGAGTGACCTAGAGATCTGGTCTGATTCCCTCATTCACAACCAAGGAAAAGGAAGTCCAGGGGAGGTAAATGATTTTAAAACACTCCCACACCACATTGTGCGTGACCAGAGGGCAGGCTCGAGTCTCCTCTGACTGAGCACTTTGCTGGACTGTCTCTCAGTCCTGCAACCACTACAAAGGAGGAAACTGAGGACAGCCCAGTGCATCTCCCTGGGGAGGGAATCAGCACACCAGGGCCCATGGGAGGCAGAGCTGGGCCTTCCCTGGGGACCTGGTCCTGCAGGTGCAGTTTCCACAAGCCTGGTGGAGTGAGGAAGCTGGACTTCTGCCACACCCTCCAGATGGAGGCAAGGGTCTTGCTGGCAGCACAGCCCATCCTTTCCGGGGACCCTGGGTCTTTCGCAGGAAACCACACCCCTGGTGTTGGCATCAATTAGGCACAGCTCAGGGGCTGAGAGGAGGGAGTGAGTCATGCTAGCATCTCCCTCGAGCCCAACAGACCCCAGAGACCACCGGGGCAGGAGGGGAGGATGGTAGCATGGTTGTCACAGCCCGAGAGCAACAGCACACCCGAACTCAGTCATCCTCTGTCCTCCCAAAACCCCTCTACAGGCCAGAGCATGCCTGGGAGATCCTGGCACTGGAAAGATGGCCTGGGAACTTTTCTGGGCAATTCAAGGACAGCAGTATCTCTGTTGGCAAGTGAAATGGGTGGATGGCAAGAGACCCCCTGCTCTTACGAACACATAGAACCCTAGCCACCCTCCTCTCTTTATGGCAGAGCTGCTGGGCAGCAATGAGCCCACCCGCTGGGGGATGGCCCACCCGTGCAGGCCAGCAGCCTGGGACCAGGCAGCTGCAGGGCCACACGTGAGGCTTTCCAGTCTGACTTCTCCTTACCGCGCGTGACATGGAACCTGCTCAGTAAACAGGGGACGCATGCCCACTGCGGGGAGGTGCGTGTGCTGTACACATTCCCTCACGATTTCTGTCCAGGGAAGAAACTCCACGAGGGAGGAAAGTGGGAGGCGGGGCATCCCTGCACTAGCCAGTCGGCCTTCTCAGAAAGGCAGTGCCCGGCCTTGGCTAGAGGACAGAGCATTTGTCCACTTAGGACCAGGAGGAAGACAGGACCCGTGTGGAGGCCATGAGGTGGTAACCAAGAGGAGGACAGAGACCAGAGAGAGGGCGAGGAACGGGAGATGATGGACCAAAGCCATGCTTCCCACATGCTAGGGCCGTCCCAAGCACTTCACAGGTACTAACTCACTTAATCTACACAACCGTCCTGAGGGAGGATCTATCGTTATACTTTTTTTATAGAATGGGAAACTGAGGCACAGAGAGTATAAGTCACACAATGGGGAAGCAGCTGAGCATCAGTCTGGTCCCAGAGGCTGTTCTCGTAACCTCTACTCTGTTGGGTGAGGGCTTCTGCAGCTAGTGCTTGAGCACCCGCAAGGGAACAGGGCAGCCCTGGCTCTGAATCCTGCTGTGGCCACTTTACTAGCTTGGGCACATTAACCTCTCTAAGGCCCATCTCCTCACCTGAGGAATGGTGAGGACAAGTCTACTCCTGAGGTTCCGGGGTGGGTACAGCTCTTGAGCAGAGCTTGGCACACAGAGGCCCTGACCAAGAGCTGGCAAAATTAACTAATCAGATGAGAAGGGGCTCCAGTCCTCACCATGCCCTGGAGGTATCTGGGGTGGGTTCTGGAAGTCCCGCTATGAGCCCTGAGGGGGAAAGGGCACTGACAAGAGGAGCACCGGAGGAGGCTGAGGGAGGAAGCCAGGACTGAGCCCCCATCTAGAGAACTGAGGACCAGCAAGCCATTGGTGATGACCAGGCTATGGCCCAGACCTACTACATCAGGAGTGCTGGGAATCGGAGCCAGCCACAGGCCCTGGGGTTTGAGGCCCACTATGCCAGAGGAGACATTTTCCTTTCCCTAGGAAGTAGCAGCAGGCACTTGGGTCTGCACTGGCTCTCTCTAGGTTCAGGGCTACTGCCCCAAGGCCCTCCACCTACAACTGGGGCTGAGGTCTACTGAGAAGGGCAGTCCAGAGGGGCGGGCACTGAGAGCTGGTGAGGCCACAGGCTGGGCCTGCCATCTCGAGGTTCCCCTGGCAAGGCTGGACAAGCAGAGATTTGAGCAGTTAGCCCTCCCCCTCCTTCCTCTTTCCAGATAAGCTCTGGGGTGGCATTGAGGGTCCCTTGTGAAAACTCAGCAGGAAGCACCTCCAGAGATCACAGTATCTCTGACACTGAGAGGAGCAGACCTGTTTTGTCAGGACTGACACTACCTGGCTGGGTCAGGCACTGACTGGCCTGATGGATGCCAAGAAGCATCGCAGGCTGGGCTCTGTGGGCTGGCTGAGGCCACACTGCCATCCCACACACAGATTAGGGGGCACACTGCTGAGTCATATGACTGACACAACATGATGAGGAGCTGGTTTGTTCTTGACAGTTTTCAAACCCCTGCAGTGTGGCCGCATGCTTCCTGGTATTTGTCCCCTAGAGCAGCAGGGCCTGGGCTGGGAGCTGACACAGGTGTCAGATGAGGAATGCACTCCCCACAGGCAGAGCAGACAGGCACAGAGGGGTCGTTCAGTCCAAGCCAGGGCCAGACTGCCCAGGAGGTCCCTCAGCATCAAGAGGGGTTCTCCTGCATGCTCCAGGAGGTCCTGGGCATGAGGGTGGGGCTCAATTTGCTCTGGAGGAAATAACCAACCTGGGGAGCTTAGGCGATACAAAGAGCTTTGCAGTCCACCCCTTACATGCCACTTCTGTCCCCTTCTGCCAATCCCCTTTGGTTGTCACTCTTGTCAACATCAGCTGACAGTATAAAGGCTAATGCTTGCTGAGCATTTAGCAGTGCAGGCCTGCGTGGGCTGTTCCTCATGACAGCATCTGAGGGAGACTTTCTCATGCACCATTTCAGATGATGCAACTAAGGCACAGAGAAGTGAAGGAGCTTGCCCACAGTCACACAGTTGGGGAAATGGAGTAGGATACAAACCCAGTTCTGTGAGGCCCCAGAGCCTGCATGCAACATGACAGCTGCCAGACGCCCAGGTGGACAGTGCCCCAGCCCCTGCATGACTTCTCCTACTGTTCCATCAAAGCTGATTCATCCCTTGTTTTGCACTTCAGACTCTGCTCTGACCTAGAAAATCACAGACTCCCCCCTCTGAGAGTCACGGGGCAGGGCAGCTCTGGGCTCTGATCCTTTCTAGGAAGGTCACAATGTGAACAAAAGGAAGTGCCCGAAAGAGGACCCTTATACCACACCTGGGGGAGGAAGGGGTGGGAGGCCCCCATCTACCCAACTGCCCTGCTCCTGTGTCTGCAGCTGGGTGGAGAAGCTGGGAGGCTGGCAGGAAGGGAAGCTCCACAAGGGGCCATGGGGCTGCCTCTTACTAGAATAGTCTCAAGGGTAGGGAAGAGGGTGGGCTCACGAGGTGGGCGTGGCTGAGGGTGGATTTCCCCAAGAGCTGTGTCCAAGAGGCTTGGGGAGCCCTTTAGCTATCTCGGGGAATTCTGCTGGCAGAGGGCTTGGTGCAAAACAAAGGCTAGTCTGTCCCCTGCATTCCAAACAGAAACGTTGACTCTAGCTCTAATACAGGCTGGCCCTATTGGATGCTACAGAAAAGTGACTGGTAGTCTGCAGGGTGGCTAGAGCCTGACGGTGCAGGCAAAGGGTATCAGTGAAGGGTCACATGCACGTCAAGAAGGGGCCTGCTCCTGCTCTAAACCTATGTCATTGCCTCAAATATGGAACCACACAGGCCTCTCGTCTGAAGGCTACCACAGAGCAGACGCATTACGTGTACTTCCCCTGGTCAGAGATGGCCACTGTAGCTCAGCGCAGCCTGTAGGTCTCTGAGCTGAGACACTGGAGGAGGACAGCTCAGGTGGACGTGGGAGTCCTGGGTTCTAGTCCCAGCCCTGCCACTTCCTCATTGTGTCTCTCAGTGTCCTCATCTATAACACAAGGAGAATACTAGCACCTGACTCCCAGGACTGTGTTAGGATTTAACAAGCTAAGAAGATAATCTCACAGCCTGGCACGCAGTCATAGATGGTATTATAGTCTCATGTGCTGATGGCTGGCACGCCTGGCAGAGGCTACGCACGGGAGATCTCAGGAAAGAGCTGTCTCTGAGGTAGTGGGTGAGAGGGGCCATGTTGTGACAACATGCCAGTGTGGCTGAGCTCTCAACTCGACTCTGCTGGCAGGACTTCCCAGCCCTCTGCCCATGGCATGGGGCAGGTGGGCTCAAGGAGGGCGTGGCTGAGGCTGCAGGGCTGAGCAGGAGCCCGGAGGCCTGTGCTGTTCTGCCGCTGAGGCTCCTGGAGCCTCCCACAGGAAGCAACCAGTCAGCTCCAGGCCTCCCGAGGCTTGGCAACGCTCCCCTGTCCTGCCACCACTGCCCGAGGCGGCCGGGTGGCGCACAGCTCCCTGGGAGTCCCAGACCCCCCAGTCTGGTCCTGACAGGAGAGGGCAAGGGCAGTGAGGGATGAAGGGGATGTGCGTCACAGGATCTGCTCTGAGTGAGTCATTCTTTAGCTATGGCCCTTTGGGCTACCACAGTGTTTTTCTCCTTTTCTAGGAACTTGGTATGCAACTAACCTACCCAAAAAGAGAGGAGGAAGGAGAAAGAACCCATGGCAAACCTCACATAACCCCAAGAGGAGTTCAGATTTCAATCCACTTTTTCTATCTGAAGCAGGCTGAAGTGGTCTTGCAGCTCCTTCCCTGGGAGCTCTCTGTTCTGCTGCTGAGGAGCAGACGAAGGCCCCAGCTTTGTGCTGGGGTTCGGGCCTTGCGTGATGGGTGGGAAGGGGCTGGAGCTCCTCCAGGCCACCTTTGATGCAGCGAAGGTGAAAGCGAGGGACGTGCTGAGGACCACACCACCCTGCCTCGTCCGGAGCACCCAGAACTCAAGTGAAAAGGTGGCCAGAGGGGCCGGCCTGTGGCTCACTCGGGAGAGTGTGGTGCTGATAACACCAAGGCCACGGGTTCGGATCCCACATAGGGATGGCCGGTTCGCTCACTGGGGGAGCGTGGTGCTGACAACACCAAGCCAAGGGTTAAGATCCCCTTACCGGTCATCTTTGGGAAAAAAAAAAGGTGGCCAGAACCTCTGTTTGCCCCAAGACACAGAAAAGGGGATTATCATATTCAGGAAATACAGCCAAGACACAGGGTCTAAGTGAGCAATTGACGCTCTGTGACCTGAGGAACACCACACACATGCACACACATATGCACACAGCAAAGCTGTTATAGCCACGCTGGTGTACTCAAGAGAGGTGCAACTTCCTGACTACACTCCCAGAACCTAGGGGGTCTGGAGAAGTGAGAGTTGGAAGAAAACCCACCAGCACACAGAATTGCCTAGAGTGCTGGTGTGGTTAGCAGGCAGGAGCCCCCGACTGTGTGTTCCCATGACAACCCTGGGATGCTCATATAGAGCCAGTGAACGCTGCCGTGGAAGGCCAGGAGCTCTCTTGTCCCATTGGAGAGGACATGGGCTCTGTGACCAGATGGGCCTTATGAACAGTGAGCCCGCAGTCCAGAGCAGGACAGTGACCAGCCTGAAGTCCCACAGGGGCAGGGAAGGACCCAAGTCTTTACAACTCAGAGCTGGGAGGGTCAGCATTCTCCAAGACCCATCTCCTCTTACAATTCAGAGGTGGGGCTGGAGAATGCTGCCCCTAGCCCCCATCAGCCACTAAACACATAGCAGGCCTTGTCTCCAGGGAGCGAGGCAGCATCTGGCCCATTCTCCTGTTTTGCCACAGGGCCTTGGGTCCCTGGCTGGACCAGCCCCCCAGAGGCACCCTTGTGATGAGCCTGACCCTGCTGGGCACTTTGCACTCCTTTATTTGCGCCTCAGGCCAACCTTTCCAAGAAGGTAAAATCACCTCCACTTTCACAGATCAAGAAACAGGAGCTCAAAGAAGGGCTCGGTACCTCGACACATGAATGAATTCAATCAACGAATAAATAATCAAACGAACACACTCTCATGGTCTCCAGGATAATTAAGAGGCAGCGCTGGGACGGGAGCCAGGTCTGACCCCCATGTCCATGCTCCTCCTTCCCCAGCACTCTCAGCCAGTTCAGGGTTCAAGCAGCCCTGGAATGTCCTGTTTTCTGCAGAGCACCACAGGGTCAGGTTTTGGTCACCTCACTTTCTAAGGCTGGCAAATCTTTTTTTTTTTTAGGCGGTGGGCTGGACGGAAGATCCAAACCCACGACCTTGGCATTGTAAGGCTGCGCTCTAACCAACTGAGCTAACCGGCCAGCCTATTTTTTTGTTTGTTTTTGTTTTTTTCTTAGCAGCTGGCTGGTATTGGGATCAAACCCTGAACCTTGGTGATCTCAGCATCACACTCTAGCCAATGAGCTAACTGGCCAGCCTGGGCTGACAAACCTTTACGCAGCTTCAGATGGCAGAGCTGCTGCTCCCTCCATGTGCCCCCACCCTCCTGCTTGTCTTCAACATGGGATCTCTGTCTTGTGGTCAGCACCCCAGCAGACGGTGAGCTCCAGGGGGTAGGAGACTTTCTGCGATGGTGCTGGCAGAAGTGTAGGGACGAGCTCAGCCGCTGGGGTGCACAGCATCCTCGACAGCCTCTCAGGCTGCAGCTACAGAGTCTGGTGCCCCGAGCTCCCTTCCCGGAGACCTACCTTCCTGCAGCTTCCTCTCCTCTGACCATTATGGTTTTGGCCACTTTATAGGGACAGTAGGCCCAGGGCCCCTCCTGGGCTGACCATATCAGGGAACAAGTCACCCCCCACCCGCTTCCGCTGTGAGGTTTGTGCTGCCTGCCATCTGTGAATCCACCCACCCACTTCAACACCTGCAGGTGAGAGAGGCGAGGGAGGAGGCTCAGGAAGAGCAAGGGAGGGGAGGGGCGTCCTGCCCAGCCCTGCCTTTCTAGGATCGTGGTGGCCCACAGAGAGGTCCCTCCTGATGTTGGTCCTGGGCCCTACAAGGTTGGTGAGCCTCTATCACTGCCCCAGATCACTCTGAAGGGACATAGACCCTCTGTCGGGGTGGGATGACAGCCAGAGACAGGGGCCTTGAGTGATCTTCCTCTGCTGCAGGTTCTTGGTGGATGCCAGGGTGAGCCACCTAGATCCCTTCCAACACCTAAGCACTCTCTCCCTGCAGCTGGGACTGCTGGCTGCCAACCAATCATAGCTGCGTCCCTCTCCAGGAAGCACCCTCAGTCAAAAGAAACTGCCCTGCCCAAGACTCCGTCCCTCCCTAGGGACAGCCTGCATTCAGTGACTGGTGGCTCTGGGGACACAGAGGCCACGTCCCCTTGCTTTGACCTGGGACATGTGAAGGGCCATCAGCTCTCGAGTTTTTTAGACTGAGGCCCTGCTGTGACTTCACCGTTGTCCAGCTGCTCCCTCAACCCAATTCCGCCCCCTCGACTCTGAGAGCCCTCTCCTATAAGCCTCCTGCAGGCACATCTCAGAGGAACCCTGCTCTGGCGAGGCCTCGTTTTGCTCATTCCTTCACCATTCGTCCATTTTTAGTCATTTATGGTGCTCCCATTAGGAGCCAGGCACAACAAACAAATGGACCAGGAGGAGGTCTAAAATCTTCTCCAGAATTCCCTTTTCTTGGCTCTAAAACACCTAATCTCAGTGAGCTCCATATTTCCATGCAGCAAAAGACAGGAGCAGGCTCCCACACCCAAGCCCTGGAATTCCTGGGAGAAGTGGGCTGTGTTGAGCCAGAACCCCTGCAGGGACACTGCAGGGCACTGGGTATTTGCAACATACAGCATGTTCCAACTCCAAGGTAAATGCATGAAAGAAAAAACAGGGATCTTACCTTTTATTCAGCACCATGTTCCCAAGCTTCAGGTCTCTGTGCACAATGTTTTTCTGGAAAACAACAGGCATATGGTTTATACTGTGAAAGTGAGAGGTGGGATTGAGGCCAGCCTGTAAGATGTGGGCTCTTCAGGTGTTTGGGAAGGCAGGAAAAATTCTGTGACATGTCTCTTTAAGTTGTGCCCTATTTGTGATCCACAGACAGATCAGGACAATTCTAAGACCTCGTGAACCATTCATCTGAATGGGGTAAGACAGGAGCCCAGTCAACGTCTGCCCCACCCGGGCAGTTTCCTCAGCTCTCTACTCCTCAGAACAGTAGCTAAAGGGAAAGCTGATCCTCTCCTCCCCTCCATCAAATATCCCATGGAAAAAAAGCTTCGGTCTGGATCTAGAGGTCAGAGATGAGCCATCAGATTCTGTGACTAAGTGCTGCAGGCTTGGCCCATAGAAGCTGTGGCACATGGAGGCAGTGGCTCAGGTTCTCCTGACCCTTCCCTCAGGGCCTGACACCCCAATACTACAAAAAGCTCAGATAGGCGGTGGCCACTTGGGCGTATATCTTGCATTTATAACCCCAGTTGGGAGACTACGGTTTAGCCTCTTGCTGTGGACTGCTTGAATTGTGTTCCCCAAAGTCCATATATTAGAAGCTTAATTCCTACTGTAGCTGTTGAGGGTGGGAAATCCTATTATGGTAATTGAAAGGTGGGGCCTTGAAGAGGTGCTTGGATTGTAGGACCTCACAGTAGTGAATGGATTAATAATGGTCAGGGGCATGGTTCTGATGGCTTTAAAAGGAGAGCATGTGAGAGTCTCTCTCTCCCTGCTCCCCCATTTCCTGCCATGTGAGACTCCTGCACTGTTGTAAAGCCACCACCAAAGATGCTCTCCAGATGTGCTCCCTGGACTTTGGACTTCCCAGCCTCTAAAACTGTAAGCAATAAGTTTCGTTTTCTTACAAATTACCCAGTTCCAAGTATTTTGTTATAAGCAACAGAAATGGACTAATACACCCCTCAACAATGGAGAATTACTGTACGGGGCTCTGCTGGATCACCAGTCAGCCTTCACCAGGAATGGTGCTGTGGCCTGTAGCACTGTGCCTCACCAAGTGAACATGTCATTCAGCCGCTCTCCTTCTAGACACTCCCAGCTACAAAGCATGCTTAGGTGAAGGGAAGACTGAGCAGCAGCAAGAAGGGTGGCTTCCGTGGCACATAGAGGTCGGGCTGCTCTGGGGCCAGAGCACAAGGGAGTGGCAGGGGCGGGGGCCTCACCTGGTGCAGGGCCTCCACCACGCGGACCACGTCGTAGAAGATAACCACGGTCTCCCGCTCACTGAGCCTCTTTTCCTTGATGACGTAGTGCTGCAGGTTGATCAGGTCAGCGGTCTTGTCACTGAAGTCGTGTGCGCAGAGGCAGTCCAGGACGAGGCAGATGCGCTTCTTCATCTTCTTAACCATTCGGCTGGATTCTGTGTCCTCCACGATTTCACAGGTGCGGTCCTGGGAGGCAAGAGGCAGACCAGGGCTTGGCTGTGGACCGGTAGGGCCAAGGTCAGGGGTTTGGGACTCTCCTCTGGAGCTGAATATCCAAACAAATGAGAGGTCGAGGGCTGCAGTGGAGCACCAAGGCCTGGGCAGTGGGGCTGCTCAGCTTCCCACCTGCCAAGTGCCAGGCCTAAGGGGCTGAGGTTAACACATCTCAGGTTAGGGCTTAATGCTTTGATCATAATGTAAAGGATTTGGATCTTGGCTGGGCATTTAAAGCCAAAGGCCTTCTTTGTCCAGTGTACAGGCAGCAAACCTGGGGCCTGGGGCACCTTCCCCCCATGGCACTCCCAGATTCCAGCAATCACCAATGTGACTTCTTTCCAGTGTTGAAGACTGTAGAAGTTACTGAGAGATCAATCTTGGAAAGCTCCCAGGATCACATGGTGTTCTGTGTGTCCAACACAACTGCTTTCCTCATGGATGCAGAACTTGCAGGCAGTTACATAAGAGTGGTTAAGAGTATGGCTCAGGTCTCAGATGGCTGGGTGCGGCCCTTCTCCACCACATCTTAGCTGTGGGACCGGGGGTAGTTTGCTTAACCTCTCAGGTCTCCAGTTCCTCATCTGTAAAAGGGAGTTAGCAATCCCTCCCTCACCAGTATCGAGAGAACTGAAAGAGATAGCCCATGTCTAGTGCTTAGGTCCTGCCATAGTCTGGGCTCAGAAACAGTACCGCTACCGACACTGCGGCTGCGAGCTCTAGATTTATTTTCCTTGCAGAAGGGGTTTCAAGTGAGGCAAAAACACGCATGACATGGGGACTTTTATCCTACCAGCTTAAGGAGGCTGGCCCTTGGTGTCATCTTCAGCAGACTGACTGTCCCCTCTGGGGAATCCCTAGATGACCAGGTATGCACATCTCTTCTCAAGAGCAAGAGGCCTCCTGGTCATTCTGAACCTAACTCTTCATTTCTAGAGATACGATTTCAGTTCTGCTTGAGGATGGCTCTTTTCAGGGTACGGGTTGCTAATCAGTACCTTTGCTAAAGGACCTGGAACTTCTGAGTACGGGAGCTCAGGGACATTCGCCAAACAAACTGAAATGCCCCAGCAGGCAGAAGGAGTGTCAGTATCAAAAACAACTGTGGTGATCTACAGTGGCTCCAAATGCTGCTTCTTCCTCACTGTGCTCCCTTCTACCCTGGCTTGGCTGATTCCTGACAACACAGATGGAAGGAGCCTGGATGTCTTTATATAACTTCCTGGTTTCCTAGTTCTCAGAAAAGTGGCCATTCAAAGAAAACCTGGCCACTGTAATATGCAAATTATGCATTCCTGCCAGGCTGTGGTCATGGCTACAGGAGCGCTGCAGCAGCGAGTGTGACCCCAGGCAGACCTGCAGCCCACCCTGCCCATGACATCCTCACGCACCCAGCATGGCAGGGACACCAGGGGACATGTGTTGTGAGCTGCTCCACATATGGCTGTGGCCCCAGTGTAGTGGATTGAATTATGTCCCCCCAAAACACACTGAAGCTTAAATTGTGTCCCCCAAGTTCTATGTATTAGAAACTTAGCCCCCACTGTGTCTGTTAAGAGGGTGGGAAATCCTATTATGGTAATTGAAAGGTGGAGCCTTGAAGAGGTAATTGGATTGTAGGACCATGCAGCAGTGAATGGATTAAAAATGGTGGTCAGGGGCGTGGTTCTGAGGGCTTTCAAAGAATAGTGTCTGTCTTGCTCTCTCTGCTCCCACCATCCTGCAATGTGAGACCCCTGGGCCACTGTTGCCACCACCAGATGGACTTTTGACTTCCCAGACTCAGAAATTGTAAGCAATAAATTTCATTTTCTTTATAAATTACCCAGTTCAATGTACTTTGTTAAAGGAACAAAAACGGACTAATACACCCAGGAAGCACTGGCTCCCAGAGCCAGCCTGGGGAGGGAGTGGTGATGTGGGGGCTGGCCACTCACCTGGAAGAGACCGTGGTGGTGCACCACGCCGTCCTGCGTGTGGAGGAGGGACAGGAGCGAGTACTCGGTGTGTAGCAGCATCTTGCCTTGCCGCTCCTCTTGGCTCTCCATGCCCTGGTCCCCCCTCTCCTCGAGAGTAAGGATCTTCAGGAGAGCACAAAAACAAAACCGAAAAACCAAACACCTTACTATACACAGCGGAATGGCTGGAAGAGGGGAGGCAGAAGCTTCACTTTCTACCATACAACACTTGCACACAACTCACACACAAACGTGCGAAGTGAAACCGCTTTTCTGAATGCGATTGCAATGTAATTTATGCAGAGATAAAACTCTTTAAATCAGGACTTGTTCTGAACGAGACTGTGTGAACTCGATTGCTTCGCAGCAAGACATGGTGCTACTCTTGTAAACAAGCGATGCAGGTGTGAAGGTGGAGAGGAGAGAGGAGTGGGCTGGTGGGAAGGCTTATGCCCCACTTACCTTCAGCTGATAGAAGTCATCTGTGCCATCTTTCCTCGCTAGACACTGCACGATGCTCGGCACTGGTGAGTTGCCCAGACGGGGCCCTATGGCACAGAAAGCCGCTGGCTTACTTTCCAGTATCACACATCATGCCACCGTGTGGTCAGGAGGGCACCACAGTTCATGCCCACTGGGCTGACCTCCCTAAAGTCTCCTGGTAGAGAGTTCTCATGGTGACCTCTCTAAAAATGGAGAGGGGTGTGTGTGTATTTACCTGAGATTCACTTGGCTTCTGCAGGCACATTTCTCAAGAAGAACCCTGGGTGCATGTTAGAATCTCTGTGGAGCAGCTGATAAAGAAAGAGGTCCCAGGCTGCAACCTGGACCCTCTGCATCAGCAACTCCAGGGTGAGGCTCCAGGGACTATAACTTTAGCAAGTTCCCTGGTGATTCTGATACAGTCAACTTGGTGCCTGTCCAAGTGCCAGCTTTTGGGACCTTCTGTGCTTCTGGAGATGCATAGTGCTCGCTGTCCTATGACAGCACCCCACCTGAGCTCTCTGAGCAGAAATCAGATGGTGTCACAGGGCCACTGCCCTGAGAGAGACCATTACCAATGCCCTGCTATTCTTAACATATAGCCCACAGTCCCTTCTTTGGCCTCCAAGTCCTTGTACAATGTGGTTTCTGCCCACCTTTCCAACTGAGTATGTTCCATCCCCCTTCCCTGGCCATACCCTAGCTAAGGTGGGCTCTTAATTCCCAACAGGGTAAGCTCTTCCCTGCCTTTGGGCCTTTGCACTTGCTGGTTCTTCTGTCTGGAATGCTTCTCCTCTGCTTTTCATATAGCTGCTCCTTCTCACCCTCGGATGTCAGCTCAAAAGTCACTTCCTCATAGAGGCCTTCCTTGTCTACACTATCTATAGGCCCCCCTCACTCTCACATCCTTCGAGGCACTTATCACCACCAGTGAAGATCTTGTGTGTTGTTTCCTGCCCTCACAGAATGTTAAGTTCCGTGAGGGCAGGAACTTGTCTATTTTATGCACTGCTGCATTCCTGGCAAATAGCAGAGGCCTGGCATGTGGCAGGTGTCATTAACTGTTTGCTGAATGACTGAAGCTAGGCTGATGTGCCCGTAAGTCCAAGATGCTGCCCCAAAGCAAAACTCATGCCCAGTCTCTGGCTGCCAGGAGAGTTGGGGGTCCTCAGAGCCCACACCATCTGCAAGCTTGATGATAAGCAATCAGACATCATGCAGAAAGGCCCTGCTGCTCCTTTCAGAACTCTACAGGATTTCTGTGCCAATTTTACAAGAAGTTTGGCAGGTGGGGGGGAGGGTGCGGCTACACAAAACGCTTTGTGAAATGAATCATGCCATCCAAGAACGCTCAAAGCAGTGCCTTGCATGAGGGATATTGGGTTCTAACGCAGCTGTGCGCTTCCCATGGGCACACCGACATTCTGGGGGCACACACAGGATTCTCTGAGGAAGAGACAGAGTTTAGCTCTCAGCTGAGACTGATGAGCTAAGGCTGGTGTGGCTACAATAAAAATGACAATGCTTGGTACAGAGTGACTTAAGTCATCCACTGACATAAAGCGGTGAAGCTAGGGACCAGGCCAGGGGCACCTCAGTCTGGATGTCTGCAGGTCAGACTGTGCAAGCCAATGTGCCCTGCCCCTGCCCCCCTGCACACCCACTGCCCTGGGGATCAGAAGCTTACCAAGGATGAACGGTCCAGCTCTCTTCGCATTATTTCCAGAAATCCCACTTCCTAGAGCCTTCGCCCTGGCCGACGTTTCCCCAGCTCCTCTATCTGATGCTCTCCGCTTCATTCTCAGCTCTAGACAAGACAGAAAAGACCCCTTCTCACTGAGTAAGTCAGCGACTTCCCTTGCGGGCTAAGCCCGCCCGCAAGTCTCTGACTTGGAGATGCATCACACAGCTGCTGCTGCTGTTCACAGCTGCTGCCACCTCCTCCCCGCCTGGAGGAGCAGCCAAAGCTCCTTTACTTGGGCGCTAAGGTGATGTCCTTTAAGGCAGCACATACAGGCTACACAGATGGGAAGCTGGCCGACTGCAAAGGGGCTGGTGAAGTGCATCACTTGAGCTACACAGTCTCTTGGTTTGAATATATCATGATTTATCTAACCATTCCCCTATTTATGGACATCTAGGTTCTTTCCATTATTTTTTATTAATAGCCATGTACACACTAGTATATATATTAGCATAGCTGTCTCTCTCCCTCAGGATAAATCTGAGAAGCAGAACTACAGGGTCACATGGGGCACATGTTTCTGAAGGTATTTGACACATTCTGCTAGGCTGCTATCTGGAAGGCTGTGCCAATTTATCAGAGTGAGTTCCAGAACCTGCACTCAAACTGAGTATTTCCTTACTCTTATAAATCACCAATTTGATGGGTAACAAAAGTATACCGTTTTTAAAATTCATAATTCTTTAATTCTTTCTTTTTTTTTTTCCCTTTATGTCTTTTTTACTGACTGGTAACGGGATTGCAACCCTCGGTGTTGCGCCTGTACCGGGGACCGGCAACGGGATTGCAACCCTCGGTGTTGCGCCCGCACCGCGCTCAGCCAGTGAGCAGGAACCAGTCTCCACATGGAATCCGAACCCTTGGCGGGAGCGCCGTCACGCTCCCAAGCGGCACACTCTCCAGTGCGCCACCGGGTCAGCCCATAATTCTTTAATTATTTCTGAGGCAGAACATGTTTCACATGCTAACTGGTTGTATGCATTATTTCTTTTGTGAATTTCCTTCATATTCTTTTTCTATTTTTTTTCCTTTTTGTCTTTTTTCGTGACCGGTAACGGGATCGCAACCCTTGGTGTCGTGCCTGTACCGCGACTGGCAAGGGATCGCAACTCTCGGTGTCACGCCCGCACCGCGCTCAACCAGTGAGCGGACCGGTCTCTATATGGGATCCGAACCCTCGGCGGGAGCGCCGCCGCGCTCCCAAGCGCCGCACTCTACCGAGTGCGCCACTGGGTCAGCCCATTCTTTTTCTATTTTTTATTACTATGTGTGTATTAGTGTTATTGGTTTTTAGGAGCTATTTATGTATTATGGCTATAACTAACATAGGATGTAGTTTTTTCTTCATCTTTTAACTTTATTTATTTATTTACTTATTTTTATTTATTTATTTTTTTTCCCTTTTTTTTGTCTTTTTTCGTGACCGGCAACGGATCGCAACCCTCAGTGTCGCGCCCGTACCGGACCGGGACTGGCAACGGGATCGCAACCCTCGGTGTTGCGCCCGCACCTCGCTCAGCCAGTGAGCCGCTGGTCTGTATGTGGGATCCGAACCCTTGGCGGGAGCGCCACCGCGCTTCCCGAGCGGCGCACTGTAGCAGTGTGCCACCGGGCCGGCCCAAAAAAGATTAAATTTTTATGTAGTCAAATATTTCTGTCTTTTCCTTTCATTGTTTTTGCTGATATTCCTGGAAGCCCTCCCCCAGTGAGAACAAGTACATATTCACCACTGAGGTTAAATCCTTACATGCTGTTGTTCTGGCCATTCCTCTAAACCCTGGGAGACTGACTACATGCAGTGAACTGGAAAGTGGACGAGATGACCACTGCTAGTTTAGTCTACCAAGCCTGCCTCCCATCAACTCTAATCTGTTTTCAGAGCTGTGCCACAGAGGAACAGGGCCATGACTTAATTCTGAGAGCACTTCCATATTTTGTAATTATGTATTTATATGTTTAATATCTGCACCCCCCCCCCAAAATTCCCCCACCACTAAAAATTCCACAAGGGGGGGAATATATATATATATGTGTGTGTGTGTGTGTGTGTAAAAAACTATTGCACTCCAGAGCCCGGCTCAGCAGATACTCCATGAATGAATGGATGACTGCCTTCCAATTGGTGACAGTTATTACCAGGTCATCAACCCTGTGCTTGTCCTCAACTGCCAACACTCCAGTAGTAAGTTGGTATCACTAGCATTGTGACTCTGTCCTCTCTCTTCCCTGGCACACTAAGCCTCCTCTCTCTTTCCCAGTTCCCTGGGGAGCACAACAGCAGTGTGTCACATCTGTGCAGATGCTGCCTACGCGCCTTTGCACAGGCATGGTCTAGACAACTGTTTTCTGGGAGCAGCTGCAGCACAGACAATGAGTGGGCTCAGTCCGACCCCACCCACTCAACTCAGGATTCAACTCAAGCAAATGGCACGGGAACCGCTCCAAGATGCAGGCAGACAGAAGGATGGGAGCAGACGGGCAAGGAGAGGAAAAAGATGCTGGTGGGGGAAGAGGCAGCACGGCCACCTCCCTTCCTGAATGCCCATTCATGCTACCTGGAGTTGATGAGGCAATGGAGGCCTCATGAAGAGGCAGGCCTGGAAAATCAAAAGCTGCTCTCGGTTCACTAGGGGACTGAGCAAATACAAAGCTCCTGGGACAGATGCTCCTGACCCCACTCCTTGCTTGTGTATGGGGAGAACCTGCCCACCCTCAAGTCATCCTGATGTGCATGCCTCCAGAGACACATCTGCAAATGGTCCACAAATGCTCCTATGGGGAGGCCTGCTCTGAGCAATTCTGGCTTCACAGTGAGATCCGTGATGATGAAGCTCTAGCTACTCTGGTCTCAGAAGGACTTGGGGCCCAGGCCCCTCCAGAGATGCCTGGTCCTCAGGGTGGGGTGAAGGGCCTGAGCCCAGCCTGGTTCAGATGCAGCTATTTTGCTGGTGTTTCCTGGGCCCATTGCTCAGCTGCCTAAGAACTCAACATCCTGGCTTAGAAGTCTCTGGAGGTTTGAATCTGTCAACTCTTTAACATTCTATCCTCACAAGTCAGCACCAGTCCCCTTAGAACCTGAACTCAACAGGAAGCTCAGTGAGGCAACAATGGGGCTGAGGGGTAGAGGCCAGCCTGGCACCCCCACCTCTGCAGGCTGCAGCTATGCTCCTTAATTCTGAAAGCAGGGGCCTCCATCTGCTTTGCCACGCCTAGGGAGCAAGTTGTAGGCCTCAGCACAAGGAGACCTCTCAGCTCTAGGACAGCTCCCATGACAGATCCCGTCCATCCATGGGGACACCTGATCCCTGCTCTCTATGTGGGCTTAAGGTCATCTCACCCTAAAGCTGCTGGGGCAACATGAGTCCAGACCTCTCAGCAAGGCAACGAAGGCTGGGCCATCAGAGACACATAAGGGTCCTAAGGCTATAGAAGCCCAGAGTCCAGTGGGATAGTATGACAGAATACAGAAGAGTTGAGTGGGGCACAGACAGGTAGGGTACTATATAGCAGTATAGTATCCTACCTCCAAAGGGAGGTGGGCTGCAAAGAAAGATGCTATTGCGCTAATGAGACACAGTCACTGTCCTTCCCAGCTCAGTCCATCCTTAACTCCACCCAACTTCCAGGTTGAAGCCTGGCCAAGATATAGAGGGTCCCATCACTCAGACCTGGAAGCATTCTCATAGGTGTCCAAACAGGAGTGCACATGTGTGGGTCAGATGCATGGTCCCCACTCACTGTATACTCATACAGATGCCCCATCCCCCAACAAACATGAGGGGCGGCAGCAGGGCCTGCCCACATGTTTAGAGAGTTCTACACTCAACCCTGTCCTAGGCTTCTTACAGCAACCTCTGGGTTTCTGGAGAGATGGTGACCCTGCAAACCAAACCAGTGAAGAAAGAGCACAAGGACAGTCCCTGCAAGGAGCAAACCACAGATCCTGAGCCACTGATTACTTGGGGTTTGTAGCATGTGTGTATGTGTGTGTGTGGGTACAACAGCAGCTGGGAGCCACTATTTGTTAGCACCTGCCAATGCCCACCTGAGCCAAAGGACTATGTCTACTCTGCAAAGGACTACATCTACTCTACTATGTATGCTCAGCAGGGTCAGGCTGAGCCAACAGCTTCAGTATTCAAGCTGTCCCTGTCAGCAGCCCCTAGCCCCATCCTCGTGTTTCCTGGCTGTCGAAAATAAATTAATAAAGAACAAATGTGCCTGAGCCATTCAGTTCTCTGTCTTCTGGTCTCTACCTCTGGCAGTCTACTGAAGGCAGTGATCCTGCACCTCTATCCAGCCCACCTGGCACCTGGAAGTAAGCACAGAGCCCCCCACCCATCCCTGGCCTCAATCCTATTTGCCATGCACTGGTTAAAGGTCTATGTGCCCAGACCCATACCAAATCCCAGGAGGGAGGGAGAAACAAGTCTCTGCCCAAGGGCACTGAGAGGCAGACCACCATGGTTTTTCACCTCACAACAGAGGCAGAAGACATCTGTACAGCTTGGGGAAAGGAAACAGCCTGGGGGCCCCAGGTGTCCCATGCCTGGTCCAGTCACTCTGAGGCTGAAGGGATCACCATCTTGGCTTATAACTCACACTGGTTGGGGGCCGGCCCGGTGGCGCACTGCTACAGTGTGCCACTTGGGAGCGCGGTGGCGCTCCTGCCGAGGGTTCGGATCCCACATACAGACCGGTTCCGCTCACTGGCTGAGCGAGGTGCGGGTGCGACACGGAGGGTTGCGATCCCGTTGCCGGTCCCGGTCCGGTACGGGCGTGACACTGAGGGTTGCGATCCGTTGCCGGACACGGAAAAAGACAAAAAGGGAAAAAAAACCAAAAAAAAAAACAAAAAAAAAAACTCACACTGGTTGGGAACCTCTGAGTTAGAGCAGGGGTTTTGGAGCAAGCCAAACCTGGGTTCAAACCTCTACACCATCACTTAATAGTGATGAGCTCTTGGGCAAGTTACTTATTCTGTATCTACAAAATAGAGTCACCATCTGTCTTACTTACAACTTTGTTCTAAAGACTGAGATAATTCATGGAAAAGGTTTAGT